GGGGGGGGGGTGGAGGGGGAGGTGAGTCACTCGTTATTAGACAAGACAAGACAAGACAAGACAATGCTTTATTTAGAGTCTTATACAGTCCTATGTACATCGACTTTATCCCAAATTTGTTAATAGCCTGCGGCGCGACTGAAAGGGGAGGGGGACAAAAGTGCGAAAGGGAAAAGGAAAGGGGGCGCCTGCTATAAGAGCCGGTGTTTTTGCATTCCGCCCACCAATGACCTAACCAATCCAGATCCAGATAACGTCAGCTGTCAATACGTGACCAACTCCGCGACCAACTTCTCAACCTGCACCATGGTTGTTTCTTTCTAATACACTAAAATAAGTTACTTATCGCGGCTCAACCAATCACAGTGTCTGCCTCTCAAACAGAGTTCACCACTTTGGAGGCCCTCTAAGCTACATGTACAGTTTTCCACTGTATTGTTTTATTCTCTTTTTCAGGGAAAGTAATTCTAAGGATAATCATTTCTTAAAACGGAGACAGGAGAAAGCAAATGTAAGACTCGTTTCACAACGAGTCAAGTGATTGATGGAGGATGGGAGCGATTCAAGAAAAATAATGGCAAAGAATGCCGGTGAAAGATTACCCACAATCCTAGGACTGGTTTGCGCTTAACTGTGTAATGCACAGGTCGTATTGCGACAAGAATAGAGACAGCTGTCAGTTAGCTTGCGTATTTTATCGTTTTGAGTTCAGTGAGTAGAAATATAGTTAGAGATTAATAAAACGTTTTTATGTTCATCAACTGAAAACGAGAGTGAGTTGCCTTGATTCATACATATGAGTGATGGGGTTAGTTTTGAAAGCATCTGCGGTATTTATAATTTATTATTTTTAAGAGGGGTGATTATGGCACAAGTACTCTTTTGAGGAGGGTGTTTTTCAGAGGGAGGGTGCCTCTCTGTCCTACTAGAGGACTGGGGATAGGAACAAAGGCGCGCAGGGGGTAATGGGACCTCGCTTCTGCCGAGGTAGCCCACAGAACTGGTGCTATTTTTTCGCTATATCCGGAGTTATCCAGGCCGAGGAAAGTGTTTTCAGCCTCGCCCTTCGACTCAACTGATAACACTTACCGCGAACCCTTGATTATTCTGGATATCACAAAAACCGAATCTAAAATGTTTTATTACACATTGTTTGTAAGAAAATAACAACTGTACAACACATCACAGATAACACAGTTTGACATTGTTCTTGGAAATAATGTATTGCGCACGTAAACTACAGATAACTGACCAATCTGTAGGTGGCGCTGATTTTCAAAATTAACCGTAGGCTCTAAGCCAGTGAGACGACAGATAATGAGTACAATGTATAATAACAGCATTTATTTACTTCTTCGACTAATTCCTGAACCATTAAAAGTCTACTCTACGGTAAATACGACAAATACATGACTCATTTATATTTCAATAGTAGCACAGGAGGAAAACAACGTAGTTTTAACTTTTAAGTCTGTACATAAAAATCCAGAGTGTGCCGACCATTCAAATTAAACCTATTTATAAAGTACTTTCATTTTTTCCATTATTGGCCGGATTTGAGACAGAAAAGATTACGCGGAATTCCAGTCTCGCTACTCTTTCTCTAGATAAAATTCTAACACGCAATCTTCAGTAAACCGACAAAAATATGCCACCGTCTGCTGGCTCACCACAAAGCCAAAGATGCGTGCTCTTTATTTTATACTTGAACTTTTCATGTGTATCTGCATGGCTCCAGTTACTCAAAAGGTGAAGAACGCTATCCATCAGATAAATCTCTTTTTTGCTCCCTGATACACATAACCACTGAATAGTGATTTATCCGGTGGATAGCGCTATCCAGCTTAAAAACAACTGGGGCCTGGAAATTTAATTGTAAAATACAAGAGCTCTATGCGCTTTTAATATTGGCGTCTCCGACTCTTATGTTGGGATTCGCCATAGGGTCGAGAAATGGGTCTTTATCAGCTATTCCGCGCCCAACTCGTGTGAACAGTACCACAAGAGTGGTGAAACCGAGGATAAGGATGATTAATATAATAGTGGTACGTTTTAATGACGCATTTGGATCCTCCGGACCCGGCTTTCGAGTTCTCCGAGACCTGAAAATAGAAAAATAAAGAGGTTAAACTATTTAATTAGAATCAAATGAACATGATAAATTCCTGCTCTTAAAACAATCGACTCCGATGAACCTTCTCACCCCTAGACGAAGCAATGGCAAGATTATTTCTCACCCAAAATAATTTAATATCTGTTGACAAAATCCTGTGGTGTTACCATTCAAATGACATCTCTTTAGCAGAGCGTTTGCACAAAACTATTTTTTTTCATCACTTTTCGCGACTGGTTCCCTTTGGCCAGTATTACATTATGACTGAAATGGTTTTAACTACACAACGATAATCCACAAGGAAAAGCATCGCAAGGTATCTACTTCTCATCTAGGCCCGACAATAAAATATCTAATAATTTTATTCAAAGAGCCTGTGCACAGGTAACCTGCATAAGTTGACATACTTTGAAGAAACTTAGATCATAAGAGCGAAATATAAGTGCCTGTAAGATGTATTCCCCAATCCACGAACTTTTAGGGTAATGGGTACATGATTACGGCCCACCGATTTTCTGGGATCATTTGAGTGGACCGAAACGTTATACTTATGACTAGTTAATGGTTTCCTTGAATACCAACAACAGATCATCACTATACACCCATGATCCCAGAAATCACTGCATTCAAAGTTTGTACCTTCTCTATTGTCTTCAAAGAGGAGACTTGAAGGCAAACTACTTCCATCAGTCAATCAATCATTTATTTTGACACGTTACGTCGAGGAGCTAAAAAACTCGCTCAAAATACGAACGTGTAAGAACACTAGATCGTGCTGACATTAAATGGTTGGCTGTAATAACTTGTAATCATGATGGATTTAAAACTCACCAGAACCACCTTGTAAACCAGTCTATGGCTCCTCGTCTTTGATATTTATTCTCGTCATGATCATAAGGAATGCTGTCCACTGTGCTGTCCCGAGTGTTGAATATTTTTCTTGAAACAGTGCCTGCAAGGACAGAAATTTGGTTGTTATAGATCAACTTAGGGGGAGGTGGTGGGGGTCAGTAGAGTATTATTGATGATCACAGGTGGGGTCCATACATATATATATAAACTGGCACAACAAATTAACCCATTCGCCCCTGAACCGCCCGTACCCGCCCGTGCGGATCCAGGTCCTTTCTACCCATTGTGACGTCATCAGTTTTAACGGTCAAGGACAACTTTCTTCACTAACTTGTGCAGAGTGAAGAGAGCTTTCAAACCATACCAGAATGAGCACAATTCAGTCAAGGGCACCGGAGAAACAAGCAAAAAACCACGTGACATTGACCTGAAAATCTCCATGAAAATCTTGTTCCATTACCCACCTACCTTTCCTTTCGCCTAATCCTAAGATCCTAAAAGCTTTCCTAAAAACTCTTCCCACCAAAATCAAGCCTACTAAATGCCCAGTAAGAGAAAAAAAAAAATGAGGCAAGAAAAGCAAAAAAAGAAGGGAGGAGAGAAAGCGAAAAGTAAAAGTCAAGACTGCTGTGTCTTTTTTAAACCCCAAAACGAAAATTTTGCTTTCTGCGCATGCCCAAACTTCGCAAGCTGATATTTTGCATCTGGATCAGAAGGCCGCGAAGTGTTCGACCTGTAAACCAGTTTGTGGTAAGTTTTAGCTCTTTATAGCACGACAGTGACCAGAGAACCACTCGACTAGCTTCAAAACGCGTTTTTCGGCAAAATCTCCAGGAGCGAATGGGTTAAAAGTTAATTAGAAAAGTGGAAGACCCTGCCGAACACAAAAAAAAAAGGAAAGGAAAAAAAATCCCATCACCACACTGAACTACAAGACAATGCCTGTTATGCTGGGAGACCAAGTGTAATAATCATACTGTTCACTTTAGGACAGGTGAGAGAATTGGTGCCATTGAGCAAGTATTTGTTTTAAACAGAGTTACAAATATCGACCACAATCTACATTAAGTAAGTTTGATTATAAACTACATAAGGAAGACAAAGAGTAGCATTAGGCAACCCATAGCCTGCGTACAGACGTCCCCCCTCTCTCAGAAAAAAATTTTTCTGAGGAAGGGGGGGAAGTCTGTACACAGGCTAGGCAATCCACTCACACATAATTATACAGCTGTACTAGGCTTTTCAAGTACAAGAAAATACTATTGAGATTAAAACACAATAAAACACCCAACCAAGACAGTGTAACCCTATAGCACTTTGTTGTTAGTGCCCAGGGTTGAGAAAAACATAGAACAAAGTTTTTTTGGGCTAAAGATGAAAAGGCGCTGAAAGACATAGCCTCTCACCACAGCACCTGATCTTTGCCTGCAAGCTGCACATGGTCCACTGTGCATATGTAGATAGCTCATATTCTTTTTTTCCAATTAAGTTACCGCTCTGTCTTTTCATAATTTATGCTTACAGAATTACGCACTAAATTTGAATGAAACAGTTCTCTAGAGTATTATCACATGGACTACTTTGGAAAAACAAAACATACATGCTAAAGATGTCTACTAAAACTTATACCACAACACACAGCTGGCTGCAGCCTCATCGTATAAATGTGCATGAAGCGTAAAGGATATTAATTTAGCTTACTTGGTTTTTCATTGCGAGCATGAGCCTGCTGTGGGGGTGGTACCACAGTATTCTGTTGATGTACATCCACCACATGGTGATCTCTGGTTGCTCTAAGCTCTGTTGTTGCTTTCAGTAGCAAGTAACTTCTTCAATGACGGCATTATCTTACCCTTTTTAGACCTTGGAAGTACTTTTGTTTCTTGTGTGTGTTTCCATGTTTATAGATTAATGCCTTGATAATAGCTGCTTCTGACCACAGTTGAGGTAATTTTAGTTCACGATGAACAATTCCAAGCCTGCTTATGGTATTAATAATGATTTCTGCAAAGATAATGGAAAATCATAAATAATCAAGGGCTTTAGCTGTATTTTCTAAACTCTAAAAAAGCTCATAAATCATTAGCCTTTCTCCACTTTAAAAACAAACCAGACTATTATCATTATCAGTGGGGGCATGTGAGGCTAAGCAGTTTACAACTCGAACTCTGGATCGGGAGGTCCAGGATTCAAGCCTTGCCCGTTGCGTTGCTTTCTTAGACAAGAAACTTTACCCACTTGGTATATCTTTACCCAGGTGTGTAAATGGGTACCAGGAATATACTGCTGGGGGAGGGGACAGAACCCTGCAATGGCCTAGCATCCTATCCAGGGGGAAGTAGCAATACTCCTAGGCATGCTTCATGCTAAGGAAACTGGGATAAGCTCTGGCCAATGGGGCCTTTGGCTCTTGCGCGTCTTTACCTTGGATAGGGAGGCTTGGCTTGGCTAGGGAGTGGTGGGAGGCATCTCTATTGCGACTTGAACCTTAGACAGCTGAGTTGCATTTCTTGCACTCTGACCACACAATCAATCACTGCCTCCCACACATATGATACATGTGCCTAATTTGTATAAAATTCGAAACCCACTACCACAAATATTTATTTCATGGCTTCAAAAATTTTCCATTTTTTTTACTGTGATAAGGAATGAAAGATTACATCCAAATCAGAACCATATAACACAGTTGAGTGTAAATGCAGAATGCCACGGAATGTCTTACACATACTTGAAAAACTGCTCCTGCAGTCCTACAGTTGTGTTGTATTATGCCAAGTACTTGAATGTATGAGAGTTTAATGAGTGCTCCTGCAGTTGCTACAAATGAATATTAAGTTGGCATAAAACTAGCGCTACAGCAGTCCCACATTCCCGCAGTCTATGTCAAGTAACTAGTGCACTTATAGAACAAGGTACACTAGTGTTTCCACAGTCCTGCACTCCTCCAACCGATGTCAAGTAACTAGTGTGCTTATAGAACGAGGTACACTAGTGCTCCCACAGTCCCACACTCCTCCAACCGATTTCAAGTAACTAGCGTGCTTATAGAACAAGGTATACAAGTGCACTCGGGATCCCAAACTCCTGCAGTTAACGTCCGAATTTACTATGCAAATCAGACAACTCTATGACTGTGAGAGCAGGTTTTTCTCATCTGATGTTTAGTGGGCAAGGTTTTCTGCATTTTAACCAAGAGTTGGAAGGCCAAAAAAATTTTACCTAAATTCATTCTTGTAAACAAAAATTAAGCAGCAATTATCATACATAGTGTTCAATATCTCTTTTCTCATTGGCCAAATGCCTACAGTTGATTTTAGAAATCAGCACGACCTACATATATATATTAGCTAGTTATCTGCCAGCAGATAGCTGACTAATCTGTGGGGGTAGTTGTGCGCGCAATACATGATGTCCAATAGCCAATGCAAGGCCAAACTGCGTTCCGTTTGAAGAAGTGTTTCTCGATATTTTCTTTAAATAGTGTATAATTAAACAATCGTTAATAGATTCGCTTTCTTTGATATACAGAATAATCAACGTTGAGGTAAGTGTTATCAGCAACAATGTTACTAAATTAATGTTATAAAAAGAACGCAAAATGTAAGCTTGTGTATTCAAACATATTCCTGATAACCAAAATCTAATGCATAATATAAGACGTCCATAGCATGAAGGTAGTAGTTTACCTGTATCGGCGCTTTCTCTGGAAGAGTTCAACTGCGGATCTGTCGGATGAGAGCCTACAACTCCTCTGCGGTTCCAAAACGCTGTGATCGCGGCCATTTTATTTTCGTTACTATTAAATGAAATAGTATCTTTGTTTATCAGGCTACCGCTGGTCAACACCTCGCGCGCTTACAAAGAGAAGGCGCAGAGAGGCGCGTCATTCGTTGTTATGTTTTTTCTTCCCAACGGCACGCAAAGGCACGAAAAAAACGTTCTGTTCATTTCAGTTATACCATGGATAATAGAAAGACTTTCTATTATCCATGGTTATACATCTCGAGAAAGGTTGTCGAAAAAAAGTGCACGCGACAATCCCGAAAGGTAATATGGGATAGATCTATGGGATATTTTCTGACATTGTAGCTGTCTAACCTACTGTTTAACCTACTTTTGTTGCTTTCTTTTAGGATCCTTTTAAGATATTAATATCACTCACGAACATACGTCCATGGCCTCTCGTGCAATTCTTTCAAATTTCTTAGAAGAACAGTGAACTCAAAACCACCCACGATTTGTCGCGTGCACTTTCTCGAAATAGCTGTTTACGCAAATGTATGTTCTTTTTTTTTTGAGGGGACAAATTTCAGGAAAATTTGCAACTGCTGCTATCATAACCATTGGTTTTCCACCATAAAATAAAAGAAACAGGTTTAACATGAGATTCGACCATGTAATTCACTGAATTCATTAAGGATCATAGGTCGTTTTTCGTCTTAACAACATTTTACATTAATATCTAATTATACTGAATTGCGTAAAAAAGAAAAAGGCTACTTTGCTGAATAAAAATGGAAAGGAAACGAAACTCTATTTTATTTAGTTGTCCGACGTTAAAACAAATTTCGAACGTTTTAATCCAATGCGCGTTAAGTGACGAACAACATTGATGACTCGTTCATTTGACGTCACATGAGTCATTGGGTATTGCGCGCTATAATATAAAGTTCTTTTTGTTTAGTATATTTGATCTCACTGGAATGTAAATCTATAAATAATTCCACGACTTTTATTAAATGTTGGAGGCAGAGATATGCCCTGATGGTAAGTAGGGAAAGTTACCTAACAAACTTTCATTTTCAGTTACTAATAGCAGGATCACATTTTTGTTTTCCAGTTTAACTTCCGAGGAATTAAACTTCACCGAAAAGAACTCTATACTTCGTTATCACTAGCCATTGCTTCGTTTCTTTTTGGAGCCTTAACCAACGACTTTATTTCGATTATTAACGTGGAGATGCCAGAGAACTCGACTCACGAATTTACATTTTCTATCCTGGTAAGTATAGGAGATCGCAAATGACAAACTTTCGGGAAGTTTCAGGATCTTTTCCAAACACGCTCATGTGGTTCGCTGATGTGTAAGTCTACCCACCCAATTAAATAAGCAATCCATATATAAAAGAGAAAAAAAGAAATGACATTTCTGACAGACATCATCAAAAACAAAAAATTCATTTAATAGAAGTTCGCTTTGTATATTGCCAGGGACATGGAATTTCAAGCTGACATACTTCTGACATATTTCTTCTTTTTATGTCTAAAGTTACTGCACTGTGCATCTTTTGCATTGGCTCTCCTTGGCTTCATTTACAATAATCTAGCAGAAAAGGAAATTGGAACTAAAATAGGAAAAGTCTCAGTCGGTAAGTTCAGTTCATTGGCTTCAGTGTGGTATTAACAGAAGCGAACAGTGGCCGAATTTATACTAGAGATGACCTGGGCCAGCGGCATATATATACGTCTAACATGCATCACATGAGACGAACCTAAAGCTACGATACAGTGACGATAGAACGGGCAACACAAACATGAAAATTGTTTTGCAATATTGCGCGTTTTACTAGCCACCGACCTGTTTTGCAGCAAATCAGACTGTTGCAGGTTACTGACATTTGATTGGATAAAATTAAGCGGGAGTCACACCAGACTTACGTCACTTGCAATTGCTGCAAAACAAGGTAAAACGCGCGGAATGTTCAGATTTTGTCGCAAAACTGAGTAGAGCTACTCTCTACCTGCTGCAACAAATTTTCGCAACCTGTAACAACCTGATTTGTTGCAAGACAGGTTTAAATGTGGCTAGTAAAACGCGCAACATCTCTTTTCAACTCGTTAGTTTTGCAGCAATGGTGCACTGTTTTTGTCGCCCCTTTTACCGTATACCCTAAAGCCGGCTAGCTAGTGAGCGAGACTCTAGTGATTAATCTTTAATCATTAGCATCGGGCTCGTTCGTCATATATCATGGCATATGTGAAGTTCGATGTTTGACAGGGCCTTAACTGTATGAGATGCATAGAATGATTTTACTTAACCCATGAAATGGATAGTAGACTACTACGCAGTATTACACTCCAATTTCATTGTTTCCTCTTGTTTCTCTATCTGAAAATGTCTTTTTTTTTTCAGCTTTAAATTTGGGCTTATTTATTCCAAGAATAATTCTCGAATTAGTTTTCATTGAATTCCGGCCAGAAGAAATGGCGACAGCAACGTAAAGTGAATAGAAGATGACGCAAACGATAACAGGTAGGACCGTAATACCGACTGCGTAAGCCAACTACTGAGAACAAATGCTTTAGTTAGCTTAAATACTAGTACGGTCACGTACATTAGGCACAAGTAACTTCCATGTCATGTTAAGCCCCATCCAAACGAACGCAACATTGTTGGCCAACAACTCCCAACGTTGTTGGACTTATGTTGCGTTTGTTTTCACACCCAGCTAGTTGCTTGTCGTTGCATGTTGCTTCGCATTATTGGGAGTTGATGCGCAAAGTTTGAAACCGGTTCAAACGTTTAGCTACGTGCAAACGGACGGAACAACTCCTAACACAGGTAGCTTACTCAGTGAACAAACTCGTTCTTAAGATTCTTTCCTTCTAGCACTGGGAAAGAGGCAAAAGTCAGGGTGGAGTGGGATGGGGGGGGGGGGGGG